GTGCTGCTGGCCATGAAGCGGGGAGGAAGGTTGGCCTCCTTCCACCTGCTGGCAACACTCCCCTTGCCAGAGGCAGGAACAGAGCTGTCCCTGGCCAGGACTGCAGCCCTGGAGCCTCCCTTGGGCACCACTGCTCCTCCACCCCAAGCCTGTTTCCAGCTTCTCCGTGAAGCTGAGGCCAACGCTCACAGGCCAATAAAGGGCTAGGCCTGCTGTGGGCCGGCACAGCACTCCTCTCTAGAGGGCTGGGGTGAAGGACACCAGTCTGATTGCAGGGATTCTGTAGCAGGTTCCTTTTGAGTTTGTTTAGATGACTAGATGTCAGGATCGTTAACCCTATGCCATAGGCCACAGAAATTGCTAAAGGAACCCGCTGACAAGCCAGTCTTTGAGAATGACCTGTTGAATCGTTTTATGGACTGGAAATAGTAGTGTTTCCCAGAGAAAGGAAGTGTGCAGCACACTTGATCAAGAGGATCGCAGTAGGCCCTGGAAGCAGAGACCGTATGACCCAAGGGAGCAATTCCACTCTGGCTCCCAGTCTCTGCTTGTAAATACCACGGGGTCCGGATGTCAAGACTCTCGGCATCTCTGCTTCAAATGATTTGCCATGATTGCATTTGAAGTTCAGAGCAGTTGTTCATGGCTTATTGTCAAAAAATCAAAAAATAAATTTTTATCATTTTAGATGAACTTGGTGGTCTTTGAAGTTGTCTTGTTTCTAAAAAAGGTGATAAAGCAATCTTGTAATATTTCACTTTCCAAAACTAAGTCTCTTGAATACTTAAAGCATCAAAAAGATCTACCGTTCTCTTTTCCCACACCTAATTAATTCCTCCAGAAGTACTGTGGTAAGCTGCACCCTGCCAACATTTGGCTTCACAGTGTGATTTTGTGAAAGCAATTTCATTCTGAACGACAAACGAGACCAAGGGCCTGATTCTGAATCATGAACTCTGACATGTTTACAGCTGGGATCAGCAGAATAGATATCAAAGATAAACCATGGGCCGTCCCTTGATGGTACGACCACTGATGCCCGCCTGCACAGTGGAATCTTCAGAGGTATAATTTTGACCAAGTTCAGAAGCATGACAATTGGAAAATGTCTCCTTAGCTTTTTTGCTTGATTGTTTCTATTTTTTTCCTCCCTGAGTGAAAAGTAACCTCAAGAGTCATTGCAGATTAATGTAATTTGACAGCAGAGGGGATGAGTGTGGAATGAGAACATCTGGAAGAAGAAGAGTTATTTTTTTGGGCTAAAACAATACATCTATGAAAGAGAGTCTGGGATTCCGGCACAAACTATTTTTCTCTAAAGCTAGCAGAAATATAGGACTGAGCGTGGAAAGCAGAACAGTGGGAAGAAGAATCAGAAAAGCCTCTGTTATTGGAAGGAAGTTTGTTCTATGGCCATTTTGTTTCTTGAGAGATCAAAATTTCCATCTCCAAATATGAGAGAAGACCTTAGTCTTGAGAATGTCTTTGAAGCTACATTTCGTTCTAAAGCTTCTCTCATACATGCTGTTAATGTTCATCAAGCTGAAGTGAGAACCATCTGTAGGGTGTCACAGGGGGTTGGCAGTGTTGCATTTTGTTGAGATTGTGTTCTGCCCTCTCTGAATGTATCTTATCAAATTTATTTTACCACGAGGCAACCGGAATTTCAAATACTATCTGAGAAATAAATTCTGGAGGCTGTAGTATCATTTTGCTAAGTAAATTAACGTGAAATGTTGGTGCTCTGACTGTCTCCGTGCATTTTTTGCTTGTTTTGAACTGAACTATCAGGGTTACTTGTTTCTTCCTGTCCTTGTTTTGATTCTTAGAATGCTTTTCTTAGCTTTGTCCTTGTTTTGTTTTGCTCTTGATTGTGATTTTTTTGGGCTTCATTAAGAGCAATCATTGTACTATGCTCTCTTGTTTTTGAAGGCATTTCTGCTTTTTTTTTTTTCTTTCTTTCTTTCTTTTTTCTTTTTTTCCTTTCTTAATGAAAGATGCTGTCCAGAAAGAAGCTGTTGATTTGTACAGTTCCTTTGCTGGAAGCAACAGTGAATCTCAGTCTGACCTAAGCGTTTTGTCAGACGTGCTTAAAGAGTCAGAAAGGTCTAGGTTCAATTTCTACTGATTTCATTAGAAACTTAAAACAGCTTCAGCCCGGGCTCCATCTCAGACATTAAACTGCTGGAGTGCTTCATGGAGAACAGCTTTCACACAGGGATGAAGTTTCAAACAAAGGCCTTAAGGAAGATGTAAGGAAAGTAAAGTTACAGTCTCATCTTGCAAAAGCAGCTGACAGTGTTAAAGGTGGGAGGGATTAGTGTTCTTGAAGAAATGCTGTTAAAAGTCCTCTAGTTCCTCCCACTGAGAATGACTGATGTGGCTGAAGCCACAACCCTTATTCCCTGACTGTGCTCCCCCAGATGCTCATTGCTCAGCTCCTGTTCAGCTCAGTATTTTGTTCTGAAACTTCTTGCTATGCCTGCCACCTTTTGGTGCTCCTCTTGCTTCCTCTGGCCACTGTTTGGCTGTTTCTTGTCCCTGCTTTACCATTGCCATTTCCACTTAGCTGAACAGCATTGGAAGATTTCTACTCCTTGGAGAGACAGCTTTGTCAGGTGTGGGGCAGACCCTGCAGTCCATACCTCTTTGCTTTAAAAACCCAAATCCAGGTTTGACAGCAGGCCTTTTGAACGGGGTTAATCTCAGGCGCCTTAATCTGTCTCTTACAGAGACTCTTATGTTTGAGCTAATTTTGCTTGATTCTCTCTGTAATCAAAGGAGAAGTAAATATTTTTAGAGCACGATTCATCTAATTTTGATAGTGATTCTCAAAGTAGGTCAGGCAAGCTTCACCAGCCGTGTTTGTCAGGAGATGAGATTCCCAAAGTGACTGTCTGAGATGTGAGCAATTTTGTTGTGTACGTCTAAGCTTAGATGAGAAACGAATCAGGAGAGTATTAGAGTGCATTGTGTGTGAATAAGCCGTTCTTCCAACAGTGGAAGAGGGCTATTGAATAGAATGAAGATTTTTGCCTCGATAGATCTTCTGTTGCATCCAATATGGACATCCACATGTTCCAGAGGAAATTTAACTTTTATGCCTAAAATGACATTTGTAGCTGGCATTTAGAAAAACAGTCGCAGTAATTTAAACTGAAAGGTCAGAGCACAAGCTGTGATTTGCAGTGTGAGTATAATCCTGGGTGTCACACAAGCCGTCCACTTCTTTTTTCTTTCTGTTGTTTTTCTTCCCTAGTTTTAGGCTTTCATTTTACTGCAACAGCTGTATCGCTGCTTGGCGTTACTTCTGTCTCTGCGCAACGGAGCTGGATAGTCAATAGTCTTATATAAAAATACAGTTATTATATTATTTTGGTCCTTAATGCATTTTTTAAAATAAGTGGCCCATAATAAATAAACTCGATGGCATGGAGTGCACCCTCAGCAAATTTGCAGATGACACCAAAGTGAGCGGTGCAGTTGATACACTGGAAGGAAGGGAAGACATCCAGAGGGACCTGGACAGGCTGGAGAAGTGGGCCCATGAAAACCTAATGAGGTTCAACAAGGGCAACCGCGAGGTGCTGCACTTGGGTTGGGGCAATGCCAGGTGTTTATACAGACTGGGGGAAGATCTCCTGGAGAGCAGCCCTGCAGAGAAGGACTTGGCCCCCTCTACTCGGCCTCTACCCAGCTGCCCAGAGCCACATCCAGCCTGGCCTTGAAGGCCTCCAGGGATGGGGCATCCACAGCCTCCTTGGGCAACCTGTTCAATTGCGGTACCACAGTCTGTGTGAAAAACTTCCTCCTAAAATCTAACTTAAACGTCCCCTGTCTCAGTTTAAAATTATTCCCCCTTGTCCTATCTCGATCCACCCTCGTCAACAGCTG